CCAGCCACAGCCTCAGACAGCTGCCCCACGGTGCAGACAGCCTCAAGGGCTTGCAATCCCCCTAACTTCACGCGCATTTTTGTGTATACCTTTTTCTAGGGAAAGGGTTGCTGCTTTCTCCAAATTCTCTGAGAGAACTATAACCAATAAGAGGTAAATGTAAACCAACTCAAGTAGTATCTCGCAGAGCCAATCTGGCTCCAAATTCTTTCTCTACAAAGTGACGAAAGCATGTCTGATTTTATGAAAAGCTCCAAACTTCACTTCCTCCCTGCTCTCCCAACCTTCATAGCCTCATGATGTGATAATGTCATCAGGGAAACTATAGTCGGGGCCCTTTAGCCAGGTCCAGCCCGGGGTCTCCAGTAAGTGTGCTGGTTCCCCACTCCACAGCTCCACCCACTCCTTAAACCCAGAGCCAGGTTTTCTGCTCCACTTCTTAAAAATGGAGACACCTCTTTAAAAAAGCAATGACCACTTCACACCAAGAAAGGAGGCTGCCAAAGAGGAGACAAAGTTCTCAGCATCTCAGAATAGGAACAGTTGCAAAAGGGGCCGGGGCGCCACAGTTAAGCTGAGCACCACGAGAGAGGAAATGCTCCTACCCAAGGTGAACAGGTAGCAATCTGCAAAATCCCCAGCACCGGCTGGCCGCGCTGATGACCGCAAGGTGGCTTTCCTGTCCACCTCCTGGGGTTCCTTCTCAGTGAGCTACTGAGCTGATGTACAGCTGTGGGGTTCCCATGGGGAGCAGGCAGGTATCCAGTGGGGAGAGTCACAGTTGAGAGCAAACCCGGGCATATCTGTAGAGATGCTAAGGATGCTACAAGCAGGTGACAGCCCAGCCCATGAAGTCACTTTCCCAAAGACTCTTAACCCTGCAGGAAGGTCAGAATGAAAGGCCCCTTTTACTCATCAGGAGCTTCTACCAAAAGGAGAGGAGGGGGCAGGGTGGTGGCTCAGTGGTAGAACACTTGCCTAGCACATCTGAGGCACTGGGTTCGATCCTCAGCACCACATAATAAATAAAGGCATTCTGTCCATCTACGACTACAAAAACAAAAAGGAGAGAGGTCACCAAGTCCCGGAGACAGAAGCTCTCCCAGGATGCTGACACCTTGGCTTTGCCAGGAGCCCCTGGGCTGCCTGCCCCTCTCTCCTTCCAGTCCTCCTTCACAGTAAGAATAGTCAGTTTTTAGACTTGACCTGACCCATGGCAGATCCTGCCTCGCTGGTACTGCGTCAAGAAACCTCACGTTTTTCTGCTCACATGGCTGCTAAGCTGTTATTCACCAATCCAAGACCACATATCTGACTGCAACCTGGCATTCCACTCCCTGTGTCCTCTAGCCCTACCCACTGGAAAGGAGTTCATCTAGGAATGTCAATCATCCAGATATCTTTCAACACTGTTCATCAAGCAGGATGGACCTGCCCGTTTACCATCAGCAAGCGACATGGCACACACAGAAAGGGACCCTTAATCTCTTGGGCACATTTTATTTAAAATGAGGAAGAAAATTTCAACCATAGAGCAAAGACCACTGGAAATCTATACTTTTTTAAAGTTTTTATTTGTTTGAATTTTCTATCAAGAGAATGCATTGATTTTATGTTTTCAAGTGTTATTCACAGAAAAGATGACAAGGTTATCGATGACACCAGAGAGGGAGGAACAGAACTCTGGGCTTCATATCACGGATGGCTGGCTGGAGGAGAAGGCCAACAGTTTAGGAACCCACATCCTAAGGGAAGTGCACTTATCTTCGCACCAGCATTTCATAAGACATGTGATTAGGTACTAAGGTCAACAGTAGATGTAAGTGGGAGGAAGTAATGGAGGAACACGCTTGCTTTCATGCCTTATGCTTAAAGAAACACTTTATTTTTTAGAGATCAAAAGTTTTTTTAATATTTATTTTTTATTTGTAGTTGGACACAATACTTTTATTTTATTTATTCATTTTTATGTGGTGCTGAGGATCAAACCCAGGACCTCACATGCACTAGGTGAGCACTCTACCACTGAGCCACAAACCCCAGCCCCTAGAGATCAAAAGTTTAATTACTAGAATAATAACTTAGTACATCTGTGTAGAGCAATTGGGAGTACTCATCAAAGTTTAAAGTGCACATTTTTAAAATTTGTTTTTAAATTGTAGATAGACACAATCACAATACCTTTATTTATTTTTATGTGATGCTGAGGGTTGAACTCAGTGTTTCACATGTGCCAAATGAGGGCTCTACCCTTGAGCTACAGCCCCAGCCCATAAGTGCATTATGTATGTATGTATTTATTTATTTGGACTAATGTGCTCTCCAGTGTGCAAAGACAAAGGCAGAGAGCTAGATCTAATGATTTGAACACTGTGTCCCAGACAGTATTCCAAAGGCCTTGGATATGCATTAGCTATTCTATTCCACAAACCCATCCTGTGAAGTAAGTAGTATCATCACCCTCAATTCAGAGTAGGGAAACTGGGACAAGCGAAGCAACTTCATCAACACCAAAGAGCTAGCAACCAGTAGAGCCAGAATTCAAACCCAGGCCTCCTGAACATGTTCACTGCAGCTTTGTTTAAAACAGCAGAACACAGCATATAATTTCAATGCCTGTCAATAGGGAACTGCTCAAATTAAATTCTGACACATCCATACAATGAAACACTACAAAACAATTGCAAAGCAAGTTGTGTCTCTCTGTGCTGATGTGGGTCCAACATCTAATTGTTAGTGAAACACAGCAAGATGCAGAACTGTGGGATGGTGTGATCTGAGGCAGGTTAAAACAAACAAACAAAAAAGAATAAAAGGCAGAGAAAAGACAAAAGCAGCACTCAGGAAAAATACACAGGAGACCTCAAAGTGGCAACTTCTACAAAATATGTCCATGGTAAAGGGAACTGCTCTTTCAAAAAGTTTTTGTTTGAATTTTCTATTAAGAGAATGCACTGACTTTATGTTTTCGATGTTATTTACAGAAAAGATGGCAAGGTTATGGATGATACCAGAGAGCGAGGAACAGAACTTTGGGCTTCACATCACAGATGGTTGGCTGCAGGAGAAGGCCAACACTTTAGAAACCCACATGACCAACGTCAGCCCACAAGAACATGTCTGGTCTATTTAGAAGTAATTCCAGATAAAGGGCTGGGACAGGCACCTGCTTCTCATGAAATTGACCAAAGAGTATTGCCTTTAACTGTCTTCTGCAGCAAATATTAAACCATCAGAGCATCTGGAGTACTTGATTCAAGCCTCTCTTTCCTATTTTAACCTCTAGGTTGATGAGCTGAGACAGATGGCAGTAAAAGCTCCAGTGACTAACATAAAGCAAGGAAGGGAAGGGAATGACCCTCGTTCAGTGTTTGCCAGGGACAGTACCAGCCCTGCCTGGTGCCCCATTAGACGTCATATTACAAGGCCACCTGATCCTGGGGAGCAAACTTCCCCCGAGATGCAGCAAAACTGCTCCATAATTCAGAAGGATACTGCTGTGTAACAATTAAGTTTGGAAACTCCAAAACAATCAAATGCTTATCTATGCCCTCTCATACTCGCAATTCTATTAGTAAAATGTATAGGAAAAGTCACTGCTTTTAACAAAAATGAGTCTCTAAACCCCTACTCTCAGACAAATCATTATTCCATGAGACAGGATCACTACTGAAAAAATGATATAATGGGGAGGGAGGAGAGTGAGGGTTATTCCTCATCAAGGCTTCAATGTCAAATGATCATCAAGGCCAACAATATACCAAAAGGTAACCTTCAACTACAACCCTCTGTCATCGTTGCAGGGGAAATTATACTCTGTGCCCTACAGTGTGGGCACAAATTCATTCGTTCCTATGTAACACATTTATTGGCCCTTCTATGCGTCACCATCCACAGAGAATGTGTATGAAATGCTGTAGAAACTTGGTTTCATCAGGAATAATTTTACTTTGGTTCTTAGAATTTGACAGGATTTTCCACGAGGCTTGAAAGATTCCAGTTCTTTTAAGAGTCCTCCAAGAAGTTGAATTGACAATTTACTTTGTAATAAATTTCTTTGAAGTAAGCAGAGGTAACACCCTATCGTTCTAGAATTATTCTCATATTAAGCCTGGTTGAATAGAAAGAGATGGTTTTATAATGGCGTCAGATGATACCAGTGAAAATTGAAAGAACCACGTTTCCCATACCAACCTGCACAGAAAAGCATTACTAATCATTTTGCCTACTGAATTAACCAAAATACAAGGTCTCCCCCCACCACAGTAACCTCAGTGCTTTACCCTGGCAGAAGCACAGGGCAATAGAAAGTCTATGAATTGCTGATGACATGAAATTAGTACCATGCTTTTAGGAGATAACTTGGGAATATTTGCTAAGAATTATAAAACATTTACTCCTTCCTTAAGAGAAAACAATATAAATATTTGTAAATCCTACCCTTGGAAATTTGAAAAAGTCAAACGTGCAAACCTGTTCATGACCGGTCATTTGCAATAGCGGTTAATTAGAACACAGTAACAGTACAGGAAAGAAACATGGGTTGCAAAATTTTGAGGATTATACAACAACCCTTTTAATTAGGACATGATACTTGATAAGAGATCTAGATATAAAAGCTATGCACATGATTGTGTATGATGCAAATAAAAAATGAAAGGATTATAGCAACAGAATACAGTTAGGGGTGGGTTATTACTGTTTGGGTGGGATGAATGCAGGATGGCTCCACCTCGGCATTCCTGGCATCTGGGGGTCTGTCCTGTGCATGCAGGGTGCAGAGAAGCACCCCTGACCTCTACCAGCAGCTGTGAGGAACGCCTCCAGCCTCCGCTGTGCAATAGGAAGTGTCTCCAGATACTGTCAAACCACTCCCATTGGGAACCACTAGGTTTAACTCAGCTGCTCTACTTTCCAATTTGTTTTATTGTTCTGTATGTTAAAATAATTTTTAAAATAAAAATAAATGGTAATCAAAGAGCCAACATTTAGTGACTTACTCTCAAAGCTGAAAATCCTTCTATAGTGCTTCACCACAGTCAAGAACACAAGACAAGGGGACCTCGTTCTTCCACGGGTGGCCCATTCCTCTGGTCACCGTGAGGACATGACTTGGGAAGACAGCAGGTTTTCTCAAGCACAGCCTCTCCTTCCCTGAATTGCTTCTGCCTCCTGCAGCAGCATCCCCGCTCACAGCTCTCCTCGAGGAGATGAACACAGGATGACACCAAACTGCATCTCTTTGACAACACTTTGTATTTTGCTGCCATGTTTTGAAACACCTGATCCCAGAAACCTTGAAGTGCCTCGTCATACCACCAGCATTCCTTTCCTGATGACTACAGAGCTCTACAAACAAGAATTAAACAGTGTTTTGACTGGCCACACGCTGTTGCTTTGGAAACAACAGGTCAGGGGGAAAAAAAATCACAGAATAACAGACAAAATGACAGAGAAAGTGTTTCTCTTGCTCCAACAAACAGGGCAGTAAAATCTTAAAAACTATAAGACAAGACAGACATTCTTAAATTTCATTTTAATGTTATGTGCTAGCAAATCCATATCTATTTTGATGCTCAATGCTAGATAAGCACATCTAATGATAAATTCCTTCAGCTGCTTGTAAGATCAAGCAAAATGCAGAATAAAGTCCAAGCCGGCCTGTAAGCTGCTTTTGCAGCCTAAATGTTGCGAAATCTCGAATTTCAGTTACACAACCCTCCTGACGCTGGTGCCCCGTAGGCATTTCTACCTGAATGACCTTGGACTTGTCATCATCAACCTTCCACAAGGTGAACTCATTATTGAATTCATTGGTGGTCCCCACACTAAACAAACCTATCCTGCTCCCCTAAACCAGGGACTCCTTGAGGACAAGAGAGATGGAACCCCACACAATAAAAGCTGACTTATGAAGGGCTTGAATCTCCAAAGAAACCTCTCCCCGCTTTGATCTGGGGGAGAAAGCAGAACCCGCAGTAGAAAATCCTCTCCCTTTGACTACAAGGAAAGGACTCAGGTCCCACACCAACCAACATTCTCAGGGGTGTGGTCTTGCTCCTGACCATCAGGGGTGCCCTCCGAAAACCCAGCATGATTTCAATCCCATTGCACCTAGTTCTATAATGGATTTTCTAAATCCAGGTTATTATAACAAAGTGAAGAATGTATCATGAAATGACAAAAAAATAGAAGTATTCAATTATTCACAACAATTGTTTATTATTCCTTTAAAACCATAATTAACATGTACATATAATTCAAAGACGAAGCAGTATGTAAAGTCAGGTGACAAATGCCATTTACGCTGGTGGCTGAAATGCATACTAAGAATATTAAAATAAAGAGAATATTTAATGATAATAAGCATTTAATGAGCATTTACTAAGTGTCAGCCCTAGCCTAAGCTTTCTAGATATAGATACATCAACTCATCTTCACAGGAATCCCATGAGGCATATATGCACTATTGTTTTCCTTGTTTTAAAAAAGGAAGTTCTAAAAAGAAAGTGAAAAAAAATTTAAAAGGAAGTTATGAGGAATCTGAGAAGTTGTATTCCTTACTCCCTGATTAAAGCTGTATAAATTCTATCTGCATATCTGAATCTACAGAAGTATGGGCAGACATCCAAGTACATACTTTCAAGAGTTTTCCATAATGTTAAATATGACACTTTTTAAAAATCCCAATGAAGTGGTCCATGCATGCTTAAGTTCTTATTTTTGTTACATGCTTCTTGGAATTGCTTACTGGGGGCAATGTCAAAACAAACTTCCTAAATTGGGTCTCGTCTTAGTAGTCAGCTCAATTTCAGAATAAAATTAATTTGAGATTGAGGCATTTATTTATTCCCTCAAAAAAACCAAACCTATAATTTTGGTATCCTGTGACTAGTAATTTCAACAACAGGAAAGAGCTGAGTATTATAATCTTTTTTAGAAAACTCAAAGCTATTTTTTTTATCAGCTTTTATACTTCAATGACCCTGACCCAAGATTACTTTTAACAATAAAAATTAGAAAGATCTCAAAAATGAACTCAAAATGCATCAAAGACCTAAGTGTAATTGGGAGCACTATAAAAGTCCCAGAAGAAAACGTTGGAATAAATATCTTCTTGACCTTATATTTTGACCATGGTTTCTTAGATATGAAACCAAAAGCATAGTGAATTACAAAAAAAAAGAAAGAAATTAAGCTTTGTTGAAATTTTAAAGTTTTGTGCTTCAAAGAACATCACTAACAAAGTGACAAGACAATGGGCAGAATGGGCATAAATATCTGCAAATCCTATAAATAAGAAACTTGTGTTTAGGATCCAGCTCAATAACGACCCAATTAAAACAGGGCAAAGAATTTGAAGAGAATTTCTCCCCAAAATATGGCACCAAGCATGTGGAAAGACGCTCAACATCCAAGTCACTGGGGAAATGCAAACTAAAACCATAATGAACCATCACTAGACACCGATCAGGATGACTACACAAGAAACATGAGTGCTGATGAGAAGGTGGAAAGTCTGGACTCTGCTGCATTGCTGGTAGGACTGTCCAATGAGGAAGCTGGGCTGGGGTGAAGCTCAGTGGCAGAGCACTTGCCTGGCATATGGGAAGCCCTGGGTTTGATTCCAAGCACTACAAAAAAGGGGCAGGGAAATTTCTCTTTAAAAAAAAAAAAAATGGTGACAATTCCTCAAAATGTGAAACTTAGAATTACCATGTGACCCAGCAATTTCAGACCGCAGCATAAACCAAAGAGGAATGAAAACACATCCACACAAAAACTTACAGACAAATGAAAGTTCACAAAAGCACTAGTTAAGACAGTCAAAACATGGAAACAACTCAAATGTCCAACTGATGGATAAACTGGCACATCCATATAATGGAATATTACTACCCATTAAAAATGAAGGATTCATGCTACAATATGGAGAACCTTGAGGACACTATGCTAATATAAGAAGCCAGACACAGAGCGCCACATGTAGAATAATTATGTTTATATGAAATGTCCAGATCAGGCAAATTCAGAGAGACAAAGTAGCCCCATTGCTGCCAGGAGACAGAGGAGAGGGAGAATGGGAAGGGAGGACGACAGGTACAAGGCTTCCACCTGGAGTGACAAAAATGTTCTAAAATAAGATGGCATCATAGCTTCACGATTCCGTGAATGTATTAAAGACCACTAGACCTTTAAGAGGGTTAACTTTTGCTGGGTGTGCACACCTGTAATCCCAGCGACTCTGGATGCTGAGGCAGGAGGATCGCCAGTCTCAGCAATTCAGCAAGACCCTAAGTAACTTAGCAAGTCCCTGTCTCAAAATAAAACATAAAGAGGGCTGGGGATGTGACTCAGTGGTTAAGCTCTCCTGGTTTCAATCCCTGGTACCAAAAAAAAAAAAAAGATAGCAGCTTAGCTTTATGTCATAGAATGGACTCCCAAATCTTGTAAGAGACGTATGTGGCAGAGCAAAAAGGAAGGACATTTACACTGATGGGGCACAATTCAGTGTGACCACCAGCAATTCCTGGCTCTCCTTTCATCCATCCACACCAAAATGCGGTGATCACTAATAACAGAAATAAGAAGCCGTGTCCTGGTTTCTACACTAGCTCAGCCCGACAGATCTGGACTAGTGGATTCCTGTTTGGTGGCCCCAGTTTTCCAAGCAGCCAAAAGCGTAGGAAGATTGACAGTGCTCTACAATCCTGAGGCTTGGTGACTTGCAGGGGATTAAGCTGGAGCTTCCAGCATCTTCTCCGTCTTAGACATACTGGGCTGCTCCTCCTGCAAGTGTCACCTGAAGCCAGCAGCCTGGGGGCCTGGCCTTCCCTGGCCAGCCTTTCCTGGTGCCCAGGACAATTCACCAGGCCTGCATAACCTGTGCTAGCACCTGAAATCCAGTGCAGCAATCCTTAGGCAGGGAGTAGGACAGACCACCGGCTTCCTTTCTACCGCGGCCTTCTGCTGCCTCTGCCAGCCTCGCCCGTGACCTTTGGCTTATTTTGTCTGTGTGCTCTGCCTACAGTGCTGGGGCTGCTTCCAAACTCCAGTGTTATCAGGTTCACAGGGAAGGCTTGTTAGGTGCAGGCTCCTGGGCCCCAGCCCAGGATGCTGACTCAGGTTCCATCGGGCCCATGAAACTATTCCATCAGGCTGGGGCTGCTTCTCCGCTCATGGGTAACACTTTATACCCAGCACACTGAAGGAAGTTAATAAATATGCATCGAATAAACTATAGAATCTTTGGAGATCATAAATCATGTTTTTACAAGGGCCCGGCACTTTGTTACCTGTGACCTCAGTTGACAGTCACAGCTCAACATGCTGGCAAGGCAGGGAGCAGCACAGTTGTCTGGGGGACCCTGGCCAGGTCCTTATGGCGCCCAGGGGCAGAGCCGGTGCGAGGTGCTGGGAGCGTGACATTTCGGTAGAGCTTCTCTGAGCCTCCATATCTGTTTACCTCCTCGCGGCTGCATCTGATTTCCCCCAATTTAGCATTTCCCTGGCAGATGAGCTGAAGGGTGAAACAAGCCCAAAGGAAACAGAACAAGTTTAAATACAGCAGAAAAGACACAGGCGCCCTCCTCCCTCCCACCCTCAGGAACTGCCCCCAGAGCTTTAATAACAAAGGAGCAGTTAAAGGAGCACAGCTTATGCAGAACATCTGGGCCACAGGGTCCGCGGGATGCCTTTTCCCAAAAGGCTTCACCAAGAGGCCACCCACTAACAGGACAAAATTCAGAAGCAGACCAGCTCCAAGTGCCACAGGCTCCATTTCTGAAAACGCCAACCCAGGAAGTATAAACCTCCATCCCCGATCCTTCTCTGGCTTCAGCAGCGGGTGCAGCATCAAACCTGCCTGTGGGGTAAAGCTGGAGTCTTGGGGGGGGGGGATGAGGGTGGAGAAATAGATATATTTTTTTAATTTTTGGCTTTTTCTGTAGTTGTAGATGGAGAGCATGTGGCTTTATTTTCCTTGTCTATTTTTATGCTGTGCTAAGGGTCGAACCCTGTGCCTCGCACATGCTACGCAAGTGCTCTGCCACTGAGCCCCAGCCCCAGCCCCTACATATTCCTTAACCAGGCTGGAGAACTTCTTTCTCCTCAAGTGCTTACTACCAACAACGAGACTGACTGCGAATTCAGCTCTGCTCCCTCTCTCCCTCTCTGCCTAATCTTTCCAGAACTTCTGCTGACCAGAACCCCTCCCCACAGAGCACATCATAAATCCACCCACTGGACGGTAAGCACCCCCACTAAACCACTACCACCCCGTAGAGGCTGCTTGCCACAGAGGGATGAGGACCCAACAGAATGGAGGAGGCACATCCCAGGTGCGTCCCTGAGCAGACATTCAGAGAAATGGCAGTGCTGATGATGTCATTACACCCTCCCCTGCACCTCCCCGCAGACCAGGAATCCCGATGCCCTTTAACAAGGTCGACCACGACTTGTTTGCTGGCTTCATTAATTTCAGGGGCTGAGGTGCAGAGGGGACTGGAGGCTGAAGGAGGAAGCCGGATGGTGGAGTCTCCCCGGCTGGGCCAGTGCCATGGTAACCAGTGAGCAAGAGGCCTTGTGAATGGCAGGGCCGAGGTGGCAGCCGCACCACCCTGCCAACAGCAAGATGGGCAGACCTCAACACGGTCTCAGGAGGACACCCAGCATCTTCCAGAGCAAGGCCAGGGCTACATGTCACCTAAGCCACTTGGTGCACCAAAAAGCCATTGAGGAGAGCCCCTGCAGGGTGAGGTGAGGTTGTGGGGGGAGAGCCTGAGCTGCAGCCAGGACTAAGGTGGTGGTGGTGGTGGTGGTGGTGGTCAGTGGGAGGGGTCAGGCTTCTGCAGGCCTGCCCAGCAGCAGAGCCTTCCCCAGCCTGCCCCCTTCCCTCCCCAAAGATGTAACTGGTGCCATCAACCAAAGGAGCACCGACACCTTCCCCACTAGGACCCATCCCACACCCCTCACCTTACAGATAAAGTAGCTAGCCAGTTACTGGGCTGGTCTCCTTATTAACTCTAAGGACTGCCTAGGATCCGGATGAACTGATTAGATGCTAAAAACCCAAGGACCACTTAATCGGGCTTCTCACCTACTTAAAGGCTTGAGTTCTTGATGTGTTACAAGCCCAGAGATAAACTGGGCCATCCAGGGTTGGAAGCAGATAAGGAAAACAGGAGGAAGGATTTTAATTGTACCTTTCCTACAATGGTTAACTGGTTTAGCTTCTTTGTCTCCACATAAACCCCAGAAAGGCAGAAGCAATACCAGTTAACCAGCTTTCTACATCTAGAAAACGATTAGGATTACATGTTGATTGACTGAATAACTGGTGGTTGGGAGAAGAATGAGAAAAACCAAAGAAGGGAAGGAACCAAACTCTTACCATTTGAATAAACATTGAGGACATTTTGACATGTATCCTTACAAGTCTTTGAAAAAAAAAATTAGTGCATAGCTACTGATACAGGTGGAGTACTGCACAACAGTTAAAGCAGAAAGGCCTTGAAGGACACTTACAGGCTATGTGACCTTGGGTGACTCACCTGCCATATCTGGGCTACAGATAATAGGGATAAGAATACTTTAAATCCGTAGGTTTGAGGACTCAATGAACCAAAGCATTCAAGGGCTCATCATACAGTGAGGACTCGGTACACATAGCCTATTCTACTACACCAATGTTCTTCAGTCTGCTTCTTTATTTACCCATGTATCAAACACCTTTTCATCACAACAAATATACTTCTACGTTTTCATGGTTAATGGCAAAGTGTGTTTAGGGCACATGTGGCCATAAGTCAATCCCCCGGCCTTTGCTGCCGGCTTCGGTTGCCGTTTTTCCTCTGCTAGATGACACACCAGGAGCCTCCCGAGCCGTCTGTCCCACATCACCCACTCCATTCCCTTCTCAGGGATACTCCCCAGAGAAAACTGCTGACAAAGAATGACACACGGTCATGTAGAATCAGTATCTTCCCCTAAAAAGGAAAATGGAAAGCAACAGCACCTACCCCCCAGGGCTCAGGCCTGCTCCTCTCACACGGCGCCTGAGCGCTCAGGAACCGCTAACCACTGACCAGCCACACCCCGGCCCGGCTGAAGACCAGCAGAACATCGCTGTTCATCCATCCCTTCACTGTCTGTGCCACTGTGGAGGCAGAGGACTGTGCTGGCCATCAAGAGGGCTGGGATCACACACAGGTGACCAGCAGGGCAACCACGTGTCGAGCGTGCCCGGTCGGTCCAGGTGTGCCGGTCAGCTCAGGTGCACCTGATCAGTCCAGGTGTGCCCGTCAGTCCCTGCATGTGCCCCCCATCCCAGTTCAGATATTCATGGCTCTCCTCCCTTTGCTCCTGGAGTGTCCTGGTCTGGAAGGTGAATTCGACATTCACCTTAGTGAAACATCTGAGAAAAACTGCAGTCCCCGGCAGGATCTGATGGGCCTGGGGGTCGGAGGGAGGCAGGGTGGACACTGGGGGCCGCAGCAGCTCATTGGGGCCTGAGGGTGAGGTGGAGGATGCCCGGGGTGGGGACAACAGACTCGGAGGACAGAGAAGTCCAACGCTCAGAGGGCTGCCACCCATTCAGTCCCTGGGTTCTCCCAGAGAAGAGCGGACAGAGCCGTATGGGAGGATTTTCAAAGGCAGGTGGATTGTGTGTGGCTAAAGGAATCCACAAATTTCCCTGGATTATCTGGGGTAGGGATGAAAAAGGCCTGGAGAGGAACTGAGTACCTCAAGGCCCCAGAGTGGAAAAGATGTTTCAGACTTATTAACCCTTCTCACAGCGCCCACTCCTCTGATCCAGTCAACCTCCAGCTGGCCTGGGGAGGTTAATAAGAGGACGGAGGAGGTCACCTGCACAGCTGTGGATTGCGCTCAGCCTCCCCCGCTCTGCCCCCCAGGAGCCCCTCTTGCTATTTTATGGGGGAACCTCTGAACAGGCCTCACGTGGTCCTCCTCAGGAAGCAGCAGGAAATCCGGGACCTCAGGAGGTGGTACAGACACCGAAGCTCAGTGGAGACAGCCAGACCTTAGACACTCTGCGGTCCCCTAAGGCTGCGGTAAAACCTGGCACCTAAATGTTTCACCTAAGCCTTAGGCAAGATCTCTGATTGACTAATGATCGCAAGCCTAATTACAGAAAGCACAGAGTCTGGCCTGATGTCTACCAGCCACCCTCCAGACACTTGGGAAGATGGCCCCAGTCAAGGACCGACAGAAGAGAGCAGAAGGACATATCTGATGAAAGAGTCAAACCCCCTCGATTCACAGAGTAAGAAACTAAGACCTAGAGACTTTGGGGGCGGTCAGAGGATTTGAACTAGACCCAGAGAGCAAGACTCAGACCCTGGCCCCCTTCCTCTAATACCAACTAAACCAAAGGGTTCAAAATGAATTACAGAATTTTGTATTTATCAAGAAGCTTGATTTTGAAATCGTATGCCTATCTTCATATCTAAAGAAACATCACTTCCATCCTTATGAATGAAAAACATGAAATGTACACACCATACAGATACCGCACACACACACACTCACACAATCCCAAGAGATTTGTTCCAAGTCAAAAGTCACAGGAATAGACAATAATTGAGGCTAGATTTTCAAAATGCTCGACCAGCAGCAGTAATTTAAATCAAAATACACAGAATTCATTCGGAGGTTAAAAACCACCAAAATTATATGAATTTCGTATTCCTATCCAGATGTTCTGAAAGAAATGGTACTGGTGGGAATACCATGGTTGGATTTCTGAGTTCATAGTACTGACCAAGCGGGACAATTTGCCAAGCACCTCTCAGTACAGGATCATAATTTCATGTGACCGAGTTGTCCCCTGTGGGAGGAGGGAAAGGTGCAGGGGAGTTTATAAATGCCGGGAATTCATCTCAAGTGGAGCCTCTGGGCCACTCCCTTAGGCTTCACATGCACCAAGTTTATTGAACACTTATTTTGCACGAGGACCATTATCTCATATATGTCACTGCATGTTTGTGGGCACTGATGGTTCATGGGTTTAGTGAATGAGCCAACACAATGAACTCGAACACTGAGAACCTGTCCAGTACCCTAAGGCCAGCAAGGACACCACTTGGATTTGAATCTGGTCTTAGGAAGCCAGGTACTAGTTGGATCGACCACACAGGACTGCTTTGATTTAATCCAGGAAGTCATTTAATCAGGAGAAAAAAAAATAGACCTTGTGAGACCATTTTACCCCATTCATTATCAGGACTGTTTTACAATCCAATAGTAAATTCAGAGTAAAGAATACAGAAACATACAGAGAGAACAAAGCCTCGGATTTCTAAAACTGCACGTTGCAGACTCATCTCAAGGACTGTTGTGGGTGCTGCAGTAGCTTTGACTGGCTACTCCCTCACCTTGTTTAACAGCCTCTGGCTCCCAGATCCTAATTTTTCACCTGTCCTCTGAGCTTTCACTAGGTCTTTTATCTGCCAGTGTGACCAGGGGCTTTTTCTTAGCTCAGGTTCCCAACTGGGAACTCTTGGCCAACCGCCCAGGCACTTCTGCAGAGGGACTGAATGAATGGCAGATTGCTGTTTCCTAACAAGACTTCCACAAAGAATACCGGGACCCTTTTTGTTTCCTTCAAAGAAATCGGATTCTGTGAACTCAACGTGGTCCTGTTAAAAACTTATCAAACTCCCAAATTGTTTGCAAATTGAGGGCAGTTATAAGTGCTTTGCTTCTGGCACCCTGGAAGCAATGTTTTCAAAAAAAGATTTCACTTTTGCCCTGACAACATAATTATCTGAAAACAAGGAGGGGAGGGGCGGAGAGCAATCTGAAAAGATCACTTTGATGTGAAAATTATTGCTACATAAAGGCCAGTGTGGAATAAAACCCCTAAAAGCCCCTCTGAATCATTTAATAATTTAGATAACAATCTATTGAAATGTTTGCTTCCTATGGGGTGCTTTTTTAAAGACTGATTTGGGTAATTTGTGGGTGTCTTTTGTTTTGATCTTAAACCTTAAGGAGTCAATGGTGATTTCTGCAAATCAAGAGACCACAGGAGGTCTCCCAGGAGGAGGAAGAGCTGAAAACAACTGGCCCACAGAGGCCAGCTCCAGGCAGATCTCCCCACCTGGAGCACAGCTGGAAGATGAGATCTTCCTCCTTCCCTGGCTGCTGCAGCTTGCTCTTCTACCACTTCAAACTCATGGGTATTACCTAACCCTGTCAAGCTTCCCACAGCTCATTCCCAGCACCATTCGGTTAACAAGTCAACCCAGCTCTCCTGAGTTCACTGTTCCACTGTTTTATCTATAGAGACAGAAACTGGCCCTGGAAATAGGAACACAAAGGAATACACCCGTTTGCTTTTGTGATGCTGGAGATCCCACCTAGAGCCCTGTGCCTGCTAAGCAAGGTGCTGTCCCACGGAACCTCACACCCAGCATTGGGAATTTATTTTTAATAAGCTCATCAGGTGCATCTCTCTATGAAAAGCCTCACTGGAAAAGTTACTCAGAAAGCAGAGATTAGGATTGGAGGTGCAGCTCAGTGGTACAGCACTCGCCTAGCATGGGCAAGGCCCTGGGGCCGCTCCCCAGCACAAGGGGAAAAAAATAAAGAAAGAAAGAAAGAGACAGAGGGAAAAGAAAAAGGGAGGAGGAAGGAAAAGGAAAAGAACAGTGATTAAGCTTGCTTCAAGGAACATTTCTACCAGTGGCGATCTGTGCTTGCGATTACTAAAGACTTTAAAATTTTGGCTGTGGAGGGATTTTTCTTTTCCTTACAGTATTGCAAGTTGCATCATAAATGTAAAACATGGGGGGGGGCCTGGGGTTGTGGCTCAGCGGTAGAGCGCTCACCTAGCATGCACGAGGCCCTGGGTTTGATCCTCAGCACCACATAAAAACAAATAAATAAAATAAAGGTATTGTGTCCAACTACGACTAAAAATAAGAATAAAAAAATTTAAAACAAATAAACGTCAAACATCATCTGTGTTGACTTATGTTATCCGTATCATAAATTATCTTTACTATAATTTTTTTTTAAAATAGAGCTCCTCATAGCTGGCAAGATCATGACAACAGTGAGGATGGTTTCAGTGGCAGATTTAGAGCTACTGTATCCTTAAGGATAAAGCAGGTGCAGCCCAGTGGTGAGAGCCTGCCCGGCACACGTGAGGCCCTGGTTCCAACCCCAGCACCACAAAACAAACAAGAAAGGGATAAAGCAAACTTCAAAAGTACAATGTATCCTGGTCAGGATACAGACACATAATTAATGACACAAAAATCTCCATTCATATTTCCCTGGCCACTCGGGAAAGACATCAGTTACCTATTTCAAATGCTTTCTTCATAAATAGACAATGAATGCTGTATTGCTGTCAGTGCTCAATTCATAATGACAAAGAAAACCATGGCTCAGATAACATTAAATGGCGCATAATAAATCATTGATGTTAGGCTTTGGCGTGCATTTCATACTTCTGATTAAATAAGAGAGAATATGATAATCAGAGTATTAAACATTCACGTGTCTGTTTTCTCAGTGGGTATGCATTG